TAATTACCAGGGTGCACCCCTGACGATTCTTGATGCTTGCACTACACCAAACACGCACCCATAGAAAACAGTGCAAAATCGGACAGAAATAGCGCCGCCTGCGCCTGTTGACTCTCGTGAAGAGGTTGGCCTCCGTTTTTTTTTACTGGAAATTCAAGTTTATGGCCAGAAGATCACTTTTTTTTCTTTTTTGAATGTTGTCGCCCGCCTCTATCCAAAATAGGCCAGCAATTTGGGGCTTTTTGTGAAAGAAGTACCCCGAACTGGAAACTATCAGTCCTAAATTCGGGATTTATAATGATGCCTCCTGATTATGGCCTGTCTTATTGTAAAAATCGCGTGAAATTACAAAATATTAATGTGCTCTCGCGCAGAAATACAACTATTTGGTGGAATGCAAAAATCTTAGGTCAGGGAGCTCTATGGTATAACAGAGATCAGGCATCACCAACAACCTTGTTCCTATGGTCCATGGGAAGGTCTTGTTTGGGAAGGTCTTGTACTTTGCTCTGATTGGGCAATCAAAATACCATATTAGCATATTCTCCATATTCATATATGCCGAGACAAATCTTATCGTCAGTTGGAATTCTGAATTTAAAGTGTGTATTTCTAGTTGAAAACCAATATTAGTGTTAATTATATATAACGGGTTTGCCCTTACCCAACGTATATTAATAAGGGCAAACCCGTTATATATAATTAACATCTCCCCAACGCAAAAAATACATCTTGAAAATATTAGTGTTGCCGGCCTCCCAGCAGACTGGGAACGTCTAGCCCAAGATCGTCAGACATGGCGGGCCTTAGTTCAACAGGGGGCAATCCGGAACAGGTTTCAAGAGGCTTGGGTCGGCAGAAAGGAGGAACGGCGTGCATGCAGGCACGCCCTTGCTGTTGAGACACCTCATGCCGGCGTCGTCTGATAAGACGGCCCGACTACTTACTTGCTTATTTATAGTTTAAAGTTACTTGCAGACGAATTTCATTACAAGTGGCGAAATAATAAAAAAAAAAAACCGAAAGATACAGACTCTATGTCCCCAAGGCGGTTTTCGTCTCGACATCATAGGGTGCGTTCGAATAGCTTACACGTAGTCGTTTCTACCCTCCTTGGTGGTAGCCAGGACTTGCAATGCGTGCACAGGTAAAGCTCTAGTGGCCCGCACCGGCGGGGTTGCCTGCACCGACGACGCTGACTGCACCAGCGGGGCCGCCCGCTCCAGTGGGGCTACCTGCACTGGCGGGGTTCCAATCGGTGGGGTTGCGATGCTGCATTGATGATGTTGCCTTACCACCCGGACTATGTTCTCTGTATGTCGCAAGCTCTAGAGGTCCAACTCTGTACCCTTGGAGATGTCCATTCCCACTTCGTGCTCACATTGAGGGAAGCACTTTCGGGACAGGGAGTCGGCATTGCCGTGAAGGCCACCTGCCTTATGTTTAATAACAAAGTCATAGGTGTTCAACTTCTGCAACCGCGAAGCTAATTGTCCTTGGGGCTCCCTGATGCCATGCAGCCACTTCAAAGGTCAGTTATCTGTCCTTATACAAATTGGTTCCAAACAGGTAGTGGTTGTACATGTAATTCTGCGCGAAGTATGTTACTGCCAGCAATTCCCAACGGGTAACACAATAGTTGCGCTCGCTTTTGGTGAGTGATCTGCTCCCATAGGCCAACGCACTCTTTTCCATCCTGTACTTGAGATAGTACAGGCCCAATGGCGAATCCGCTCGCATCTGTGTCAAAAATTAATCCGGCGTCCCCAATCGGGTAAGCTAATGTTGGACCAGAAGTTACGCAGTGGTTGAGAGTCTCAAATGCTTCTTGGCATTTGCCCGTCCACCTGAACTCCCTCCCCTTCTCGGTCAGCCGATGGAGTTGGGGAGCAGTCCCAGCAAATCCCTCGATGATTCATCTATAATACGACACAAGGCCGAGGAGACTTCGCACATCGGTGGTTGTCACTGGTTATGGCCAGTCCTGGACGGCTTAAATCTTCTCCTCCCACAGAGACAACGTCGCCAAGGAACTCCACGTTCTCCTGGAGCAGCTTACACTAATTCGGCTTTAGTTTGAGATTGGCTGCATGAAGCCGTTCAAGGACTAGACACAGTCTCTGCATGTGTTGCTCGAAGGATCTACCAAAGACTATCACATCGTCGAGGCACAGAACTGCCACCCGTCACCCCTCCAGCACCCGCTCCATAAGGCGCTCGAATGTTGACGGCGCGTTACATAGTCACAAATTGATAGAAGCCCCCCACGCCCAGTAGAGAAAGCAGTCGTTGGCCTGTCTTCCTTGGCCCTTGGCTACCTCCATCTGCCAATAGCCGGAGGGTAGGTCAAGCGTCTTAAAGAACTCAGATCCTGAAAGAGAATCCAAACTGTCCTCAATACGAGGCAGTGGGTGAGCGTCCCTTATAGTTACGTCGTTCAATTTCTGTAGTCGATATACATTCGGACCGATCTATCTTTTTTCCTCAGAAGCACAATTGGTGAACACCAAGTGCTCTCTGCCCACTCGATTACGCCCTTTACAAGCATTCTCGCTGGCTCATGGGAACTGGTCTTGGCCTCTGTCTCGAATTGGCTGCGCAGCCTCTGTTACAATGCGGTGCTTAGCGATACCGGTCCTCCCTATGTCTCCCTCTCCAGAGGAAAATACGTCACTGTCTTCCCATAATAATGCTGGTAATTCAGCCTCTGGCCAGTCTGTTCAAACATGTCCTCCAGGTGTTCTGGGACTTCCAAGGAGGCCTGGGTGACGTTGCTGTCCCCCGTAGCAAGTGGTTATCTGAACTCCACCTGGCTTTGATTCCCCATAGTCATTACACTGTCCACAGGATCAAGTGTCGCGGTGTCAGTGCCTTCACGCAACAACTTTGGCTCTGACATCAGGTTCATTAACCTCACCGGGATCACAGCATCGCGTACTCCAACCAGCGCAATTGCTACCAGCAATCCATGGTTCTCCACGGTGTTGTTCCTTTTCTGCAGTACTCCCCAGGTCGGCATTACCCCGGGGCCATGGTGTACCACCTTACACCCCATAACAACTTCGATCGAGGGTGGCACAAGTACAGTTTCTGTCATCCGAACACGACATGTTATAGGCTCACATGCAAAGGCTTCAATTGGCACAAGGTACCTCCATATTTTGTACACATGCTTCTTCCCAGAGCCTCAAGCACTTGCGTTCCCGCAAGAAATCTAGCCCAAGGATCACTTGATCACTGACGTCAGCAACCCATATCGTGTGGACTACCTTATATCCCCCAAGCATCTTGGCTTTTTCTGCCACGCGCAGCTCACTTCCGTCGGCCTGACGAAACGTGCGGTCGGAAGGAGGGAGGGATGGTTTCAGACGTAGTGCTATTCTTTCGTAAAGACAGGAAGAAATAAAGCTTTCCATTACCCCGGTGTCAAGAAGGAAACTGGTCATCACATCTTCCAATTTCCCACTCACGAACAACCTGGATATCGTGGACTCCGAGGATCTTAACCCAGCACCGGAGCCATACGGCGCGTCGATTGCTTTCCAATTGTGAATTTTATAGTGTATCTCTAGGCAAACCAGACTCCAGAGGGGAGTTATGTGACGCAGGATCCGGCGCCGACTGTGTAGACTCGACCAACGCCGCAACCTGCACCAGCGGGGCGACCTGTTTTGTTGAGGTCGTCGACACGTGTAAGAATGCACTCGTAGCAATCCGCACCGGCGGGGCTGCCTGCAACCGCGGGGCTGCCGGCACCGGCGGGACTGCCTACTTTATGGAAGCTGCCGACGCCAATAAGGTTGCACTCACCAGCAATTATACTTTCTCCGGTGGGGCAATCCACTTATGTGGAGCCTCCAGCGACACTACGTTGTTATGGAGCCCGGGTACCTTCGGCTGGGCTTTGGCTCCCAAGCCTAGCCCCTCCTAGTTTAACGGCGGTGGTTTCTTCACGGCCTGGGGACAGTCTGCTCGAAAGTGTTCAAGGCTCCCACAAACCCAGGATCCCGGTTTCCAGTCTTTAGTGTCGGCCCTCCTCTACTTTTCGAGTTTTGCCATCACATTCTGCAGCAGTTGGGTGAGTTCGGCCGTTTTAGTACGGGTTTCAGCTTCATGTTGTCTGTCCTCCGTCTTGACGGCTCGTGACCGACCCACCTTTTTTGGCTTTCAGCCAAGCCTCAGCTTCTGTTACAACTTTTACGGTGTCGTCCAGAGTTTTTGGCTTGCCCTGGAACAAAGCCTGCTTTAAGTCGTAGTCATCCAGAGCGTTGTGAATTGCTCGATGGCAAACTCTTCCTGGAACGCTGGTCCACTGTCTGTGTAGTAAGCTCACTTGACAAGCTTCCTGACTGCTTGTCCAAGCTCTGCAACGGTTTCGTCAATTCGTCTCTTCCTGGTTGAAAGCTCGGCTCGGTGTCTCACCCGCTGTCGTTCTGACCCAAAGCGTCGTGTCAGCATCTCTATCAGTTCCTTGTAGTTTGATTGTAGCTCCTCACAAAGAGAGCAAACAAACTCCAGAGCCGACCCTTTTAGAGCAACGTAATAATCAGCCATTTCTTGCTCTGTACACTTGTTGATTTTAGCTACCCCCTCAAAGTGCACCAAGTATTTTTCAAGGCAACTCGAACCATCGAACTCTCGGGTTTTCATCCGCATTGGAGCTACGGTGATGGCCGTCCCACTACTCGAGGCGCACCTGTTCCCGCTGGCAACAGGGGAACCACCGTCAGCAGCCCCACGGCTACGGCCGGCGTCGAGCATGGTCTGCGGTCTGCCCCCGAAGTCGCTACGGGATCATGAAGGTACCGAGTGTCATGGGACTTACCCACAGTCTTCGTGGTGCTCGAAAATTCTCCAAGTTCCCTCTCGAGTTCTTCTCTCAGATTGGTTAAGATTTGTCTAGGGCCACTTTCCCAAGGTGTACTATGTTCTTGTAGGCTCGTCACCCCCTTTTCTAATTCTAACAACGATCTTCCGATCTCGTCTAGGGCCGTTTGAATGTCTGCAAACGAATTGTAGGTTGCCATCTTTATCGTTGTCCTTGGAAAAATCAAAATGCGGCTGCTGCCACCATTTGTAGCGTGATCTCTGGCGGGTTCTCTCACTTGTCGCCAAACGCGAAACAAACGGGACAACTTAACTCTTAACAGCTTAACTTTCAGCTTTTATTCCGTTAAAACAGAAACTCGTCCAGCTAGACATACTTGCTCCAACGACACTCCAAAACAGGACTAAAACACACTGGTCTTAACGCAAGTACACTCTTTTGTTCAATGGTATACGCACTGTATACAAAGTAATACATTGTTTGGCAAACTTCTCCAACTATTTCCTCGGGCGCGCCACTGTGTGTACGCGCCAAGTATTTCCGGAGCTGCTATCCTAGGAGTTCAAGAGCCCATGAGGCTCCGGCGACGGGCAACGGGGCTCAAGTGCGTTCGCTACACTACCTACCCGGCTGGGAAGCGAATTTTTTTTCCCCGTAGATAGTGAGTCTAAGTACATTCATGAGGCGTACTGCTGGGCTATACTGATGCTGATAAGACATGCTATAGTCAGTAGGGATCAGATAAATATTTCTATGAATCCCGAATTTGGGACTCACCAAAAAAAAATCAAATTGCGGGCCTATTTTGGATAGAGGTGGGCGGTTACATTCAGAAATTAGCGCAAAGTCTTACTGCCATTTGGGGGTTATCTTCGGGGAAAGGCGAATAATTTTTTTTCGTGGCTAACCCCATGAAATTGAAACGGAAAGTGACTTTCTCACCATGATCTTGAATTTCCAGTGAAAAAACGGAGGCCAACCTCTTCTCTAGAGTCAACAGGCGGCGCTGTTCCGGTCCGATTTTGTACTGTTTTCTATGGGCACGTATTAATTTTGGTGTAGTGCAACCGTGTGCTGGGTCGCCAGTCATTGGCAATCAGTTGAGCAGAGTCCTCATGAATAATTCATGTTTTGACTCACCCACCTACGGAAAAATTTCTTGGCCAGCTAGCTCACACTTCTTGCCACCAAGGCCATTTGCATCCAAAGTATGAATTATTAGTGAAGAGGTCTATTTGAGTGTGTGAGGCACGCTCGGAACTTTCCATTAAAGCCTGGTTTCCATAATCTTTGCAACGCAGACGGTCCGCAAGACGTCAAGACGCAGACAGTCGCGGACACGGAAGAGACTCAGTGCGACGTCATTCCACCCAAAAAATTAAACAAAATAGTGCCCGAAACTCGGAAAAAATTCGCAAAAAATGCCTTTTTTAGGTGGGACTGTTTCCTCTTTAAGCCAAACTGACACTCTAGTTTGATGTAATTTGTTAATGATCAGCTATTTTATTGACGACTGGGGCTGCATGTGCTAGCAATAAGGAGATATTGATAAAATGAGTGGAAGGCATACTAAGAGCGAGAAACATTGCTGTACGTCGTCATGCCAGCGTGCGTGTTTCGACTCAACGCAGACAGTCGGCAAAGTTGAATCATTGAACCAGGCTCAACTTTGCCGATCCGTCTGGGGCTGGTTTGTGTTATCGGCGACACTTCCGTTTGACATGTTTCCATTTGTCAGCGTTGCAGTTTGCGTCTTGATTGCATTGCTGTCTGCGTTTCTTACGGCGATATGGAACCCAGGCTTAAGCCCGCCAGATTCTAGGTTGCCTCTTGTGAATATAGCGCCCTCGGCTGTGCTCGCCATTGTCAGCCCCTGCGTCGCCGGGCCGGCGGCGCACCAGCCTAAACAGTAAAACCAGTCTTGGGGCAAGACTAACGGAAAGGCGCCTTTTCTGTCAGAGCTGCGCAAGTCTAAATTTGTGTGCGCAATTACATGCAGGTAGCAAGTGCAAGTCACAACTTGCGCACAACCGAGTTTGCGCGCAACAGCTACACGGTGGGGTAGGGCCTACATCGTTCAGCTACAGGCGGTAGTGTTGTGTGAGGCGACTCTAAAGGTCCCCTGGAATTTATAATCACGGTTTTAAAATGGGCGTTACGAGAGAAGTCATTACTGAAGGAAAGGGTAAGATTTTGTGACAAGTTCAGATCGTTGTCGTTAACGTCAGATGGTTTAAAAGCCAAATGGGTCAACACTTCCAAAACGACGAATTACACTGTTCTCGGTACTGCGGTCATGGCGGTAGCAAGGCCTAGTACTAGTAGACTGGCCCCCAGTCTGGGGCTAGGCCTAATTCGTCGCACCCGGGTAAACTCGTGCCCAAAAGGTTTTCACAAACCTTGAGGATAGCCATGAACAAGTCACCTAAACACAGTTTTGGCTATTCTATTATGCCAGTTATTCTGCCATCACAAATATTTCTCAGTACTATGGACATCAGACCCCACAGTTCTGGGGGTAATTTGTCAGCTCGATCATGCCACCCTGTACAACCTCCTAACTGGGTAGAGCTTTAGATCAAACCATGGAGGTCAAACTGTCACACTCTTCCATTTTCACTTCCTACCCTGATGGCAATCACACCGTTTGTGTTGTTCCGCATTTGGTTTTAAGGGTGTGCATGGAGTGCCCTTACAGAGGACATGTTTTGTTATTTAGATTTAGATAACAATGAAGTACTTCAGTGTCTACGCAAGCATATCACACAAAACAAAGACCGCGCTCCACGTAGGCCCTCTATTGCATGACCATCCTTGCTGAGTGACTTGTAAGCTGACACCCTCAGGACGCGCAACACGCACTGCACTGGGTAACTCTGACAGATTACAATACTTAAGACAGGCACGTAAGGAAGATGATTCTACCAGGGGGCCAGAAAATGAAATCTCTTTGTTGGGAGTCCAATGCATGTGATTGTGAGTGCATAGCGCAAAACCTGTACGTTGTGGGGTTGGCAAATTTGTGTAAGGTTTTGTACTCTGTAGTGCATGATAGTCTTACACTGCACATGAAGGTGGTGTTTTGTAAACTCGTAACTGGAGAAGAGTCTCACAAAAGCATTAAACATAACAAAATCAAGAGCCCAAATTTTGCCAAAGGGAATGGTGGTCACCTGAAAATAAGTATTGGAAAGTCTAAACACTCATAAGTGGAGTTTTCCTTTCAAGAAAAGAAAAAATTCTTTGATTTTTGTGCACAAACCAGCTGCAATGTTAAAGCTTTGCCTTAGATGACATCACAAACTTGATGACATGGACAAGCTTTAAATCTTTAATTTAAAATAGTATGGGGATATGTTCCAGTAAAACTTTTATGTACTTGAGGAAAGCCCCCAAAATGAGTGGTCATAGTGAACAAAATCTTACTTGGCCTCAACTATTAAAACATTCAAATAGAGAAGTTTGTTGATATTTCAATTTTTGGCTAAGAAGTGATAGTTCTATCCCTTCAGAGACGTTCTCTCTTATAGATTGATTTTGGGAATAAACTTTGGGTGATTTTGAGAAAACACATGTTTATTTGAGGGTGTGTCATTGGTGGGTTTATTTCTATGTGGAGACTGTAGAGGAACCTCAGGAGGGTAGAAATATTGGAAGAAATTTTAAAAATGTAGACAAGGGGACCAGCTGCTTCCAAATCTGTTGTCTAGAGTTAGGTCTTTGGCTTTTCTGCATGGGAAATACATGGAGTCACCGAGAAAATAGACCTAGCCGTGAGTGGAGCCTGTTTCGGACATCGACACGGCCTGTGATGTGGCTCACTTGCGTACTGCACGAAATGGGACTGGGGAAGGACAGGAATCGCAAGATCCTGATTGAAAGTGAATATTAAAATGTCCATTTTCCAATGTGATCTAAGTAAAATCATCACACACTGCTACAAATACTTTCCACTCTAAAACTTCCCCTCTGAGACTGCAAAGTAATTGTTTTTTTAAATGATGCAGTCTGTCTCAGGGAATTTTGCGCTGCTTGGACTGTGAAGAACACTTGATGAGCAACATGTAGGTGCCAGCTGGTCCTTAGTTTAAATATTCATTACTAACTTAAAATCTGCCAAATGTTCCCTATTAAGTCAAATTGGGAAGACACACCTTATAAATATGCATTTTCAATGACATTGCCATCGAAATTAATGCATGCGTGTCAAACTAGATTTCACCTACAGTGTCATTGGAACAGCAGTGTCTCTCAATCACTGACAACAGCATGACAGCTTGACCAATCGCAATACGGCTCCTATCTTCTCCTTGTATTTTTTCCTGTCACCTGCAAATGAAAGCTGTGCTGTGATTGGTCGTTAGTATAGAAGCAAATGTCGGGGGTCTAATTTTGTTTCTTTTATTTCAAGCTTATTTGTTATGTTCAGTAAAAGTGTACAGCAAATTCAGGAGCCAAGGGCGATGTTCGGTATACCTAAAAGGTTTGGTATAGCGATGCTCGTTATAACGGCATTCCACTGTGTTTAGGTGTTGTCAGTTAGGAGCTGCTGTTGTCTGCAGCGTGCTTGGCTGTAACTTGCTTGACAGATGAAAATCTTGTACATGTACATTAATGGTGGTCTGCTATGTTATTATTTCTTTCTTATGTTTGACATCACAGGGGAAACATATCCCAAGACGGGACAGACAGTGATCGTACATTATACAGGTGAGTATTCCTAGTCCCAGTATTGCATATCAGATCAGCAGGATGCATGCGCTTTTTAACCTAATCTTTCTGTGAGCTGGGTTTAATTGCCATTTAAACATAGAGCAAGGACCATCAAGTGTGATCAAAAACCTGAAACCAAAGTGTTTGCTGAGGAAAAGTTCCCTGGTTCCCAAGCAAGTACGGGTGTTTCACTACAGTGCGCCTCCAAGAAAAAAATCAAACACTGCAACATTCAAAGTTTCGTTCTAAGAAACCAAAAGCCAGGGGCAATATATACAATTCACAAAAGTGCGCCTCCAAGAGTTTGCAATGCATTGACCAATCACAGTACGCGAAATTTTTTTGACCAAATGCTTGTCAGAAAAGGGTCAACAGGTTTCGCAACTTGTGATTGGTATACGCATTGTAAACTCTTGGAGGTGCACTATTGTGAATCGCAGGTATTGCCCCTTGCTTTTACGTTCTTAGAATGAAACTTTCTGAATGTCCTTTGAATGTCGCAGTGTTTGATTTTTTTCTGAAACGGAACAACTATTTGCAACGAGTTTTAAACGCTCTTAACAGAAAGGGATCTCAGTTTCCAATGAATATGTCTTGAAAGTTCAATGGTTAAGTTTGTTTTGTAGCAGATATTCCAGCATTTGGTTTCTAGACAAAAGCGAAGTTGTTTGATGTAAACTGCTCGCTGCAGACTTAGGGCAAATGAATATGTTTGACTCAAACTGTTTGATACTTTGATAAAAAAAGAGATGCCTGACATTACATAATTTCATATATAGGTTTTTATTTTATTGTATTTATAAGATTTAATTTTATGTATTGTTTTTGTAAATCATACTTTAAATATGTTTGGATGGTTCTTCATTTTTTGTCTTGCTTTTTATCAGGGACCTTACAGAATGGTAAAAAGTTTGACTCGTCCAGGGACCGCAGTAAGCCATTTGAATTCAAAATCGGAATGGGACAAGTCATCAAGGGATGGGACGAAGGAGTTGCACAGGTACTTGTAAAAGGGAGTCCAGGTTTTAGTGTTTTGCACCTTGTAAATATTGTACAGAAGTTTTGTTTGGCATCCAACTGTGTTAGCGCATGAACGGCTTTCAACTTGTTTTAAGTGGGGCCCCTTTGGTACATGTGGAAAAAAGAGATGCCCATCGAGGGGAGACATTGAAGAAAGGTACGGTGTTTAGAGTTGGTGGGTAAACCCCAGACAATTATTCTGTTCACGCAAAGGGATCTCGGTTTCCAGTGAACATGTCGTGAAAGTTCAACAAATATGTTATTCATTCAAGGGAATGAGGTGCATGTAAGGACTGTAAAACCCAATCCACCGGCCAACCCAGGCAGAATTTTAACGTGTAATGAAGTGGAAGACGACGAAAGTACTACTGCACCAACCTGACCCTTCCCCCTCCCCTTCCTTAACTCTAACTGCCCCAAATCTGCCGTACTCCAACAACAGCTTTTGTGAGGTTTTGGCAGGTTTGGTACCGTACCTGAAGAACTTCTTGTTGAATTTTGTGAGACTTGGAATGAAAGGCCCAGGGAGAAGGTGTTGGATTCTGTGTGAGTTGGGACACAGGGTTCATTGTGTGCAATGTTTGGCTTGCTGAGCCAGTTGTTGGACTATGCTTGATTTTGTCAGGTTTGGTACTGTTCAGTACAAATCATCCTATGCAGCATAGACCTATCCATTGCATATCACTCAAACTCCAACGGGCTCATTCTGTTGGAGTTTATCAGGTTTGGTGCAGTGACCTGCATGTACAAGTACATATAGACAAGCACATGCACCTGTTGGATTTTGTGAGGTTTAGTGCAGGAGCCTAGGGGGTTAGGGTTAAACATGTACACTTTGTACATTATGTAAAATATACATGTAGAAGACCAGTAGCCTGCGGTGCTTGTTTGGCATTATTTTGTTTGATTGAAATAGGGCTAGTCACCAGCAATCAAGTCAGATACCATAATTTTTGTCAGTACTGTGACCGATCACATTTATGGTATCAGAATTCCATCAAACCGAAAAAAAAGCAGGCAATTGGTCAGCACAGCTGGCTTGTAAATCAACACTCAAAGCACAGATACATGTATGTTGTAGAAAGTTGCATGTATAATGTACATTAGCAGTTCTAGCAAGTCAGTTTTGCTTTATGTAGGCAGAGAAATCGACATTAACTGTTGAAAACAGTCACTTGAATGAGAGGGCGACTTTGTCCAGAATGGATGTTTGCTTAGGGAGCTCTAACCAGTTGAGTGTTATGTTGATAACAGTGAATTAATTGTTTCATCAGTGATTTTGCTCTTAATTTTTGTCTTAAGTCCAAACATTAGATAGCCTGTCATATTGACCCTGTCTGATTCCATAGTCACACCTACCTATGTAAAGATAGATCTTGGAGGATTCCAGATCTAAAATTAGCATAGTTGAAATGTGGGTTCCCCTTCGTCCCTTCTTCCCCACCCCCCCATCTTTCTTCCTTCCTGCCTTTCCTCGTCCCCTTCCTCCCATCTCCTTGGAGTTAGTGAACTTAGCCAGAGTATTTTCTACAAAGAGAGTCCTGTATTACAAGTACATGTGTATATATACAGGCATACAGAAATGTACAATGAAGGTCAGCCACACACTCTAAGGAGTGCCAAGATAATCCTTTGTTATCAGGATTCCAGTTTGCAGATTTCACTAAGAGCCAGAATTTAAACTGAAGGCGGATTTTGTGAGCCATCTTATTTTTTATGCAACAATTTTTTTTCTCTCACAAGTTACTCGGTTTTGCAGCCAAACTTTGTAAATATTCACCATTTTGCAACAATGACGAATGAGAGCTAAAACCTTGGACATGAAAATGGCACCCTCCAATTTATTCCATTTGAGTACAAGGAAGGATCCAGAACCAAGTGTTTTTTTTGGGGGGTGGGATCGGTGTACAAAATGTTTGGAGGGAGGGGTCAAATATTGACAAATTTTTATGTGACCTTTTATTGCCTTTCCGAGCTTTTTATACTCTATTCAAAGTATGGGAAACAAAATACACTAGAAAATATCCTCTTTCGGTATTCCTCACCCTCCCCCAGAAAAAGAAAATTGTTTTGCTCCCGTTTTGGAAGAAAGGTATTTCCCCTATTGACTCTGTCCCTAGCCCTGATCTGCCATTGTTTGGAGTCTCTACCAGTAATTCATGGCATTCTCCCAAGCTATTAATGTGTAGAAGATATTGCCTCATCTGGGTAAATCAGCCTAACTGGCCCAGAAATTCTGTCAGAAGAGCCAGGGGCATGGAGGCCCAAGCGTCTGCCACCTCAATCTCATGACTTCTTTGTTCTTCACATTTGACCACAGATGAGTGTTGGCGAGAGGGCCCTGCTGACTTGCCCACCTGAGTACGCCTACGGTGCAGCTGGTCATCCTGGAGTATATCCTTTAGTCTTGCTTCCGAGCGTTTACATGATTAAGATCAGACAGGTTATGCCACGGAAGTACATGTGTGCGTGGTTGATTTGTTTTTTGCCTCTTGTCAGGTCACCAGGTTTGGAATCAAACTGGCAACCCAAATCAAAGTTCATTGCCTTGCAACATAGCTGAAAATCCCTGCTATTAGACAAATGGCTTTAGGCTGCCACCGAAAAATTTAGTTTTTGGTTTCCCAACCGACCTTAATTTTTCAGTGCAACCCTAAATTTTTTATCGGAAAGTTAGGCCATCAGATTTGACTATTAAAAAAATCCTTTTTGTCTTTTTTGTCTCCACAAAACACCCCCCAAACAACTGTTTTCACATTTAATGCTTGTATTTATATGTTTGCCGACTTGCATGCTCAACTTTTGAAAAGAAACTTCCATTATTTTCACAAGTTCTCTTTGTGTGATGCTGTCGGGATGGTGGAAACGTGCAGTAATGTTCAGTGCATTGAAGCAATGCTGCACTGGGTTTGCATCACACCACCCCATTGCCAAAGATGGCATGATGGACATGCAGCAAGCAGTCTATGGATCCCTGCCAAAATAGCATCATTTCACTCCACAGGCAATGCGTGCAACTGTACAGACGCACATCCAAAAAAAAAAAAAGCAAGAAGATTTCTAAAAGTTAATTCACAGAAGTTGATCTCTTGTCTGTTTAAGTAGCTTCTATGTTCAGGAATTTAATTTGATGTTGCATTGCTCCCACTTAAGGTGACCATGTTTTCACAAAATTTGTTGTCGCAGCACAAGGTTTATCACCCACCCACGTTACCACGCAATATGCGGACATTGCTTGCTAGTTTCCCGTCATGATTACGAGATTAGCATTGTGCATAGTGGTATGAATGTTCCATTATTCTTAAGAACCGTTTATTGTAGATACATGTAGTTTTATATTCATTAAGGTAAGTTTTATCACTTTTGTGGCATATTTTATAGCTTTCATAGCCCTGTTCTGATGAAGAAAAGATGACAGGATTTTCAATATGGCAGGAGATAATGTGACAACTTTAACTCTGTAAAGTAACAGCCATCCTGAAAGTTGCAGTTATCAGTGTTGAAGATGTTTGATATAATCAAAATGTTGTGAAACATAGCAGCCTCTTGTGATATGACTCTAAATGCATTTTGCAGCTACATGTATGTTAGTGGCACCAGGTTTAAGCATGGTGTGAAGTAACGCCAACTTTCATGAAATCGGCTGCTGGATTTAACAAGAAACACTTCTCACAATCACTGCCGCCAACCATTTCCTTAACCTCCATGCACTATTCCTCCCAACGCGACACTGATCTTCGACGTTGAGCTGCTGGCAATCAAGTAACATGTAGGCTGACTTGCCTTGTCTGCCCTCTCCTCGCATTGAAGACCTCAACAGCAGAGTCTCTCGTTTGAAGTAGTCAAGATTTGTAGGTGCTACATGTATTAGATAGTGTATTCCTTGTAACAAGCTCATTTCACGTGTATGCCAGAAACCACAGATGCTAGTCAAGTTCAATGGTCTCATATTCTTAGAACACTGCATTTTCATTGGACGTTTTCCTGGTCTACTGGAGGATTATCTCACCAGCCATGGCACAGCATCATGAAATAGAAGGGCTATTCACCAAAAACACACTACTCAGGTTAATTTGATGATGTTGAAGAACCCCCCAAAAAGTTGTTCACTTGTCAAACACTGTTCGTCAGTGTGCATCAGTTGTCGATTTTTAGGTTGGTAGCCCATTTTTGCACAGCAACATTTATCTGCAAAAAGGCTCAGTTTGCCTGATAACTCTTGCAAAGGGGGTTGTCCATTCCCCAACCCCATGTTTGGTTCCTCTTTCATATTGGAGTATTTTTGTTCTGTGTCAGCATTTACTCAGAAAAAGAAACGGCAACTAGACCTAGTTGTTAAAACTGTAACTGCATGTGCTTTACTTTGGTTGTCAAATCCATTAGCATCCTGTACGTTATTTTGTGAGTAAATGTTGTGTGTATGTGAGTACTGTCCAAGTTCTTTAGATTTCTAAGCTAGAAATTGTACAGGTGTAGCTGTAACGCTCATTCTTTACCAGGACAGATAAGCTTGTGGACAAACCAGAACAATTTTCACACATGACAATCATGTACTGTGTAATTTCACCCTTCATGTCGCTGTGCTTTGTTCACAGTGTTGTACATGTAAGTTTCAGAGCAGTTGATGTGCGGTGCCATAAGTGTGGACAGATAGGGTTCCGGCCTGCAAATGTTAAATAATCGCCGCAATCTTTTAGCTCAGTGCTCATTACGATGTGATTCTTAATACCACTTTCTTCTTTTCTCTTTGGCCACTTGCTCGGAGTTATGACCAACATTTGTAAATATTGGCCATTTTACGACTGGCAACTTACAGCTCTAAACCACACATTCAGTATGCTGCTTTGTATCAGTTTTTATCCTAGATATTACTCATCAGTAATGCAAGAGTGGTTTATATTCGGTTTCCATACAGAGCCCCACTAAAAACAAGTATCATATGGTTTTTGTCTCATTTTTTACTATCCAAAAGGGTTACCATAGCATCGACATATTGTTTCAGGCTTAGCCATTGAGTAAAAGCTTCAGCTCATCTGTGTTATAGAAACACAAATAAGATTTTGAGTTTTGTAACCCGGAAAGAATATAGTCCAAGTAAAATTAGACTGTACAAATCCAAACATCATAAACTTCATCCAGTGTTTATTGACCTCATTTTAGTGAAGCATGATCTCTTCAGTATATCTGAGAAATGGTGGCAGCTGTGTGCCACTGGTTATTAAAAATAAATCATTTAACACAAACAAAATCCTATTACTTTGGAGTATTTCACTTGTATTAATACTGCAAGGGCATGAAATTGGCCAATCGCAGGCATTGGTAGTCTGGTCGTGCACAGTGATTGGCGACTTGGACAAGGTTAGGTGGTTAGCATCAGAAAGGTGACTTTTGACCTGCTACTGTGAACCTTACCAATCAAATCGGTGCCCAGCCAAAGTGACTCCAAAAACTGGACAACTTCAACACACAAAGACTGTCGAGTTCTGTGTATTTAGTAAGTTCCTTCCTTTGATTTTCCTTTCTTCTTTTGTAAGCAAAACCACTCTTCCTGTTTAATCTACTGGTATATCAGCTCTACACTCTTACTGATATCTACGTACATGTGCATGAATATGTATCTGGGCAGTTTTCAGCAGTAATAAACCACTGCAGAAAGTGCACCCAATTTCTTCGGTGGGTACTGCAGACTTTTTCCCTGTTTTTGCCTTTGACCTTGTGTTTGGGATAAAGCTTACCTCTGCAAGTCTAACAGAAGGCCCACTAAATCAAGTGCTTCATAGCTTAATGTGAGCAAATTACGCACCCTTTTTGTCAGTGGTGTGTCTCCCCTGAAGACCATCCCCTGACCAACACCAGACCCCTAATGTGAATTCACGTCACAAGCCATCCAAATAAACTGTAGCAATCTGGCATTCCTCTGTCGTTGTTCATCCTATTACTTGTGACTGGTCATGAGATGGTCTTGACTCCAATTTGATATCGTGAATAGATGTTAAACTAGCCAAACCAAATGGTGTTTTCGAGCCAACTTGAGTCACCTTGTTTTTTTGATAATCAAATGTCCAAATGTGGAAGTCAAGTGCAAATCCCTCAAAGGCATCTCAATTTCTAACGGTTTCCAAATTATTCAGTTGCTCACAGAGTTCAACAACCTTTTCAGAATCATGATTCATTCTCTAGCATCAGGAATGCAAAGACTGCAGTTGTCAATGGGCAATGCAGGACAGGCCTTTTCACTCAAAATTCACCCTCTTAGCTGTTATCAATGTTTGCAAAATAGCTAAACAGTCAACTACATTAGTACAACATGGGTTATTCCAGTTGTAATGAACATAAACCAACAGTCCTATTGCAATGAACATGTTCCTACAAGCAAAAGACAAACAGACGATTCAAAATTTTGGACAATTCTGGCAATATATACACAGGTGAGTGGCAACAGAATTAATCTGTGCAGTAAAACTGCCAACAGGTTTGACAAAGACAACGTCCAGAGAGAAGTGGCCAGCAAAGGCGCTGCAAATGTGCAGAACAAATGGGCCGCTGAGAGTGATGCCGTGGAAATGTCTGCCAAGGATGCGGTGTGAGGTTTTCTGCGGTATGGTTTGGAGGTGTACATTGGTGCCGCATTCCAGAACCACATGGTACCTTAAACAGCTCCCACACATGGTCAATGAAACGAGAAAATATTCTGATTCCTGGGGCTGCCTGTTCCATGTGCAATGATTTCTTCGGGTGGTATTTGAAGTCCGTCAGTGGCAGCATGTCTATGCACAATGTACCAGGTCTACTGCTGATCGTCAGTGCCCTACATGAAGTCATCTTCATCAGAATCTGCATTAGCGTTTGATTTCATATTGCTAGCAACCATCAGCGATGAGTAACTCCTGCACGGAAAGAATGCACAAGTAGAATAGTCATTAATTTTGTGTGTATCTGGCAATACTTGATGAATCCCAAACTTTTATTGGTGAATTCCTGATCAGATAGAAGCCACTAAACCCGGGCCCAAATGCCTGGCTGAAAGCGCCTTTCCAAATGTACATTTTTGGGTGTGTTGTGTACACAATGCATTCATGCGTTTCATTTTCACTGACACAAAAATCAACTCCATTAACATATAAAAACACGTGTGTATTGCATTCAGCTGTCAAAATCATCCGGGGGGCGGTTGATCTTGACGGATACGTAACACTTGGCGCAAATTTGACGCACATATGGAAAAGTGCCTTAAAGGATCCACTGCTATGCAAGTTTTCATTACAAAATGCACCATTGTGTTTCGAACATATGTTCAATGTTTATCCGCTAATTTAACAGATGTTTTATTGCCTTCCTGCTTGTTAGGCTGATAAAAATGTCAATATTCATGAGCAAAACTATGATGTCATCCAATTTTAAATTTAGAGGCACAAGATGGACAAGAGGACATAACTCTGGCCAACACCAAGACGTTTAGACAAGGTTTTCCTTCAACCGTAGCCAGGGATGCAAACCATGCTTGTCAAGCCTGCCCCCAAAAGACACCTCACCTGATTTCTGTCTCTTTCTGTCTCTGCCGAGCTGCCTCTTTCTCCTTCTCTTTCTTCTCCCGGGCCACCTTCTTGGCTGCTTCTCGTTCCAGCCGATCTCTTTCCTCCCTCTCTGCCTGCAGGTCGGGCATCCTCTCCTCTTTTGTCTTGTTCAGCCTGTTGACTATCTCGTTGATTCTCTTCTCAACTTTTACGCTGAGGACCTGGGAAAATTTTTTTTTTAATTAACAAATGAATAGGTAGCAGCGCTTTTAATTTCAATTGCGGACTTAAACTGGAGTTACCACTGTTTTTGACTGGAGACTTGACTTGGAAAAAAACGATTTGTGACTTGACTTTCAACCTTGACAAATCAGTCTTGTTGACATCATCAATTTTTGTTGACATCAACAATGTACAAGAAATATATATCCATGATTTTCTGTGTACCTGTGTATAAAAACGTGTCCATTGACACACTGATGGTTTAGCACTAGTAACATGGGTATGCTATGATAGAAAACAAGCCAAAGGGTCAGACCTGTTGCCTAAAACATCATACATGTCGGCGACATCATCAATAAAGGATGTCAGAAAAGTATTTTAAGAACCATAGAAAGTAAGCTGGCTTGAAAAAAAATGACATGGGGCTTGGGACTTGACCTCTGAAAATTGACCTGTAACTTCACTTTGGAAAATATGACTTGCAACTTGACTTGTGGAAAAATAACTTGTCAAAAAATTACTTGGTCACAACACTATGATAAATAATGCCACAAATTCAAGTTCGCATTGGTTGCTGTGTTTATTTTATTGTCAGAGCCACTTTAAATAACCACCACATTTATACGATGGCTTAATGTCCATATTTCAAAGCTCTGACATTATTATTATTATTAGCACAATGGGTTCCTGCACAGGTACATGTACCTGTTTTGTACTCTTGAGTAGGAGAAGCAAATGTGGTGAAGTGTCCTGCCCAAGGAACGCAAGAGACTCTGGTACCCATGGGGCTCAAACCAACAAAATACCACACGAGTCAGACACCCGAAACACTGGACAACTGCGTGTTTCTGGAAAGTAGGTCAGAATTCGTCAACAGTCAACAGAATTTGTTGAAACTGACTTTTAGAGTCTAAAATCTTGCCTGTGTAACAAACCAACATAAACCAATGACAAACCATGCTGACAATTCAGAGATGCCCACAAATTTACCTATGACCTGTTTGGTTTCAAGATTGCACAGTTCATGTGTCTAGGGCTGTAGTGGCACTCACGTCTTTCTGTTTGTGAAATCCGACCTGACCCACATCCATGTCTGCTGACTTCCTGAGGTTGGTCCATGGTGTGTAGACCACGTTGATGTTATTGGTTTTATTACCTGCAGACCAGTGAGAGCAGTAGGGTACTTGGGTCCATCAAAAGTCCTCACAAGTCCATTACAAGTCCATCCAGTATCAAGCCACGTCACAAGCTACTCAAATGAACCTTGATAAAGGCATTCCTTAAGCATTCTTTTGACATTGCTTATCCCATTACGTGCAACTGGTCTTTTGAAAGGACTTGTGACTGGTCTCGTGAAAGGACTCGCGACTGGACTGGTGAGTGGAGTTGTGATAAGAATCGACCACAACACTAAGCAATAAACAGTGCCAAACTACATGTAAATACTTCAAACATTTAAGCATTGTTTCGATATCAAAATCATCATCTTCATTATCACCACAATCATCCAGATTACAGTCACCATCACTACTGTGGTTGTTATTATCATCACTACTATCGTACGCATCACTACAACTTTCTATAAGTTGCGCAATCACTATTATCCTCTACATCATTATTATTGGTGTTGTAGTCAAGTCCATCACATGTCCCTTCGCCCATCTAGTCACAAGTCCTTTCACAAGACCAATCATAGTTGACAGTGAACAATGAAAAAGGAATGCTTTTGTAACCGCTCATTTGAATAGCTTGCAACTTGGCTGAAGACCGAATGACTTGTGCTGGATTTGTGAGGGCCTTACTGGGACTTGCAGGGATTTGTGGTGGACTCGACTCATCATCATCAGCATGGCCTGTCCTGTTGCAAGCAACAACAGAGAGGACATGTCTCACAGTCATCAAAATACACTTGGACTGAAGAAGAGCAACCATTGTGAACAGCAGACCGCTAGTGAGAACGGTCGCCTGCAGTTGGCTCCCACTTATACCTAGTGACAGGTATCTCGGAGGTGTTAAGGTCTCGCTTCAGGACATCCTTATAACACAGTCTGAGTCGTCCACAGGGCGAGGAGCATCGGCATGTTAGCTGTAAAGGATGTCCTTGGGAATTTGGCTTTCAGTCAGCTAAAGACTTGACTGACCCACCGAAGATGGCACTGTCTTAACAAGGTGAACACATCACACCAGGAGATGCCAAGGATCGAGTGCAGACAACTGAAGTGAAAGTAGTTCACTGATCAAAGCAGTTCACAGTTCGCTGATGGTCTAGATGATGGTATGTGGTCAACGATTCACTGCAGTAGAGTACGATACTGAGTATGCAAGCCACACAGATGCTTATCTTCAGTTGGACGGACAGGTTTCTGTTACTCCAGACACGGTGATGAAGATGGCCGCATGTGGTTGCAGCCTTGTCAGTTCAGGACTCAACGACAAATCTGATCATTACCATCCCTTCCATCACCACAGTAACCCAGACTCAACACATTCACACACATACCAGTGATGCTGTTGGCTTTGACCAACTGGGCACAGTCTTCCAGAACTGTGGCCGGAATGGTGTGGATATTCTCTCCCTTTGGCAGCCTCAAGTACACGTGAGCCGACGAGTGCTTGTCCACGTGAAACCTTGAAATGAGTACACACAACAAAACAAGACCCAATGAAGGTTAAACAACAGAAATGAAGTAGTGTGAAGTTGACAGGCTAACAAACAAAAGTGAAAGTGTAGCAGGCGTTCATAAAAGTACATACAAGGAGGCCTGAAAAAATTGACTAGAATCAAACTTGAGTCTGAGTTGACTGACAGGAAGATGGATTACCATATATCTTCTGGAAAACCATACTTGAGCAACTCTTCATCTACAAAACAACGAGACGAAAAAAGGTTAATACACATAAAAATTCTTCAACAGGAAAGCAACAAACAGACATGCGAGGCTACTATTTAATTTCTGTTCACATTTGAGAATATACGTCAGCCACCTTTTTGATCGTAATGCTCATAAAAGTACATCAGCAATGTAACAGCCAGACAAAACTGAGCAAAACTGAACTTTGATGGTGGGTATGGGTTCTGAGCTGGACCAAGAGAGGGCTCAATTTTCCAAGCAACAGAGGCTCCTTTGGTAGTTACTATGCATCACTGGTTCACGAACAACTATGAAATGCTAGCACTGCAGTAGCATCGCTACCGACAAAATGTACACTCCTGACCAACATGGCTTTTTTCAACCGCTGAGGGGGTGCTCCTGCTCAGGGCAGATACCCTACTGAACCAACACTGGGTTTGGCCATCTAATTTTTCCAGATGCCTCTAGCGGACAGTCAGTTTGGCGTCTCTGTTAAACTAGTCAGTAACTGGCCACTAAAGAAATTTTACAACTTTCAGGAAAGTTCACAAAATGTTCTTCATTCTTCAGAACTTATTACTTCCAATCCAAATTCTGTAGTTGCTGAAACACAGAGGGACTATAAAAAAAAAGTAAATCATCGGTACTCTTATTACTTACTTTCATGCTTGTCAATGCCTACATAGATGACATAACCTGCATACAAAAAGATAAATATAATAGGAATGACATTCCAAGCAAATGACACTTACACATTGTCTACCATTGTCCCTTTCACTACAGGACTTCTTTTCTGGAGAAAAATCTACAGAAAACTTATCTCAACATTTGTGAGCTACATGTATGGAATAAATACCACCTTTTAAATACCACCATTGACACTCCAAGGACACGATGGAGAAATATCCTTAACAGGTTTCACAGTGTATTGTACCCTATTGTACTGCTGTGGGAAGAATAGGTACTATTCCCTACCCTTAGAACTATGGAGTTTGTTATTCTACCTCTCTGAGCTCAGAGACAAAGGACAACAAGCCCCTGGCTAAAAATAGCCAAGCTGCAAGCAAAGAGTGATACTGTAACACTGAGGAAAAGTGCTCTTTTACTAGAAACTTATAACAGTACGACTGGTACTAAGCCAACTACCTCGTTTGACAAGTTGGCATTCATGCAGTCATGGAAATGTAAACAGTCACTAAGTTGGGCACAATTGGCCAATCTGCATTATCACCTCAACGCTCTATGCAATTGGTCAATTCAGAATGAAATCTCTAGCTTTACTTCCCTTTTCGAAACAATCTTTCACAACCATGAATTAGAGAGACAAGGTGATTAGCTGCTGCCAGAATTATTCACCCAGCATACAAAGATCGACCTATCCCACATTGGCCCAACATGATGTAGGCCTAGGGCCTGTTTGTTTCATATGATCCAAATCTCTGATATGTCACTGGTTCACTGACACCACAACTTGCCTATCTGCCTATATCATGGATGGAGTGAACCAGCAGGATCACTGATCGAGATCCAGGTCTGTGTGAAACAAACGGGCACAGCAATCAGACAGACACCTTCTTACACTGTAGGCCTACTATTAAAGTCTAGCTTAAGCTGCACATGAGCATCTGAGCATGACTGTAAAAACGCTACATGTAGCATGACCAGCGAGTACTCCGCGTACAGTACTAGCTAGGCCTAGGGCCTAGTACTAGACTAGTAGTACTAGTACTTGTACTAGTCAGGTAGCAATGCCAGTACAGCAGTAGTACGGAAGTAGTAGCATTCTTCGGTCTGCAGTTTTTCATTTGCTGAAAGCAAACACTGCCAAATAAACCTAGAAAAAACGAAATGGTGACCATACCCTCACTCTTAAAATAGAACACCATTTTGCCAACTTTTCATGAGGCAACTTATTTTACATGAACTAAGCCAAGTCCCAACACCAAAATGAGAAATGCACCATGCCGATTACTTTAGTGGTCTCTTGAGGGCGCAATTCAGTTTCACAAAATAACTCATTTGCATAAATACCGCATTTTAGATTTACAGACTGAAGTAATTTTAAAAATGAAAGGACTACAAAAGAGAATTCCCATGTGGAATATTTCCATCAAACATGTCATAAGTCGAGGCATGCGGCATTTTCATCTGGCTACAGAAATTCCAGGTTTTCTCATATTGATGTGACGTTTGGTACCCAGACTCCCATCATAATATTTGTTATTATTCAAGCACAAAGATCCAGACTGCAATATTTTGACTGCGTGTACAATGTGTGTGCACTGCAAAGATGTGTTGTCAACTTTCTAAAGTTTTAAAAAGCGCCTTGCTCGTGAAAACCAAGATCAGAATTCAGCGCCAGGTTTCTTGTAAGGCCATGGGCCAGCAAAGAACTCAGTGAAAAAGTCCAAACTGAGCTCCACCATGTATTGCCTCCAGTGGCTTTTACCCGTGCTGCTGATGCCCATACCGCGCTCAGCACTGAACATGGGACTGCTGCACAACTACAGCATGTTCATGGTGCTGTACCTAGCCGGCTTCTTCCTGGAAAGGAAACCCTGCACCATATGCAGCGCCATGTTCTTCGTGGCGCTGGTGCTCATCTGCTACAGCTGCTCGGGGAACTGCTTTTTCTACTGCTGTGGGGACTCGTGCGAGTGATGGATATTGAATTGGCATGATTCCTTGGAGTGTTTTGGAGAATGTGCTCTCAAACTTGAACACGTGGCCTTAATCACTACAGCAAGATACTACCAGCTTGTCAATGAATAATGGTTGCGGATGGACAATTTTAATGCAAGGTTCAGCTCCCACTCCTGTGGAGGAAATGTGCAACAATCGTCCTGGTATTTAACTCGTATTGTGTCCTTCACATCAAAACCAAGAAATATCAATCCAAAAACTACCTTGACCAGATTAAATGAATGCCCACTGTCTACATGTATCTTTGCCATGTGTCAGTGGCAAAGGTAGTTGACCTACCCAACCACTGCAATCATCACGTCTTGAATTGTCTTGTGGGTTGTGGAACTTACTTGATGTCAGCTACGTTTTACCTACCGTAGTTCATTGCAGAATAGCGGTACAAGTACATGGATCAAGTCTTTGTGCTCTACCATCTGACGCCAACCAGTAAAGATCTCATCAAATGGCTGATTCAGGAAATGACTCACTTCCGGTGTACACATTTTGTTACTGTGACCTCTGGTATCAGTTTGAATGAGTGTGATGGACTATCACAGGTTGGCCATGTACCTTTCAGATGATTTGCATATATTGCCATTGAAGTACATGCATTTCCACAACTAGCTTGAATTATCTTAGTGTAGGTTTCCTTTTTTCCCCAGCCATTCAAATTACAGGATCCAGTTTCAATTAATGCATTTTGCTCAAAAATCAGTCTCTGTTTACAGTTTAAGACATATCCTTGTTTTGTCGGATGAGAGTCAGAAAACGCTGGACCAAATGTCCATTACAACAGTTATGAATGTTTGAGTGTCTTTTGAACTGGATTATGCATTTGGAAACTTCTATGCCAAGCCATACAGCACTTTTGATGTTTTGTTCATTTGATAAGTGCATGCAGGTCAGTCGATTTCAAGGCAAAGGAAACATGACCGATGCCCCCCGAGAGGAAATAACAGACAAATATTGACAGCTTTTGAGTGGTATTGTATGACAGACATCCCAAGATGGTACTTCCAGAACTCTAAGGTTTATTCAAACCTCACAGAGAGCCATGTACTAACTCCCATAAATACATTTTGGCTGTTTTGATTGTGACAACTTACCTTTCCATTATAGCTATTTGTGCAACCAAATTTCATATACGCCCTCCTGGTGAAGTTAGATGTCTGATGGGGAGGTTTATTCACCTTATATCCTCATTAAAATGGTAAAATTCTTGAGCATTTTGCCCATCCACGCTACAGAAAATCAGCAGTATCAGTTAGCGTGTACTCTCAGTAACTGTCAGCGGGTTGACAGCTTGACCAATCGCAACACAGCTCCAATCTTTTCCCTTTGTTTTCCTGTCACCCACAGATGAAAGCACACTTTGATTGGTCCAATTTTCTTCCATTCCAATGACCAATCAAAGCTCAGGTGAACAAACCTCCCGATCTGACATCTAACTTCACCAGGAAGGCATATATGAAATATGGTTGCACAAATAGCTGTGATGGAAGGGCAAATTGGCACAATCAAAACAGCCACAGTGTGTATGGGAGTCAGTACATGGCTATCTGCAAGGTTTGTATAAACCTTACAGTTCTTGAAGTACCAAGATGGAGTGTCCCATTCGAGCTTAAGGAAAAGAGAACGTGCCACTGATGAGGCAGGGAAGGTTGATTTTGTCGAATGTAAATAATAGCAGATATCTTTTATATACATGTAACACCTTAACTGTGTATGTACATGTACATCGGCAAAAATAGGATAGCACCTGACAGACAAACTGAAAAAAATACCTGCTGCATTTCATAGAAACAACTACTTCGTCAGATGCAATGAGATTGTATATTTTGCAGTTTTAGAGGTGCCTGAAAAGCAAAAAAAGCAATGCAAATTCAGTTAGAAATCAATCCAAAATTTACTTTGCCTTTTTTTTCTGGACTTCACCACAAGTGATAAAAATGTTGTCACCCACCTCTGTTGTACCTCAACACTGGTCATTAATGGTATACCACCGTAGTGTGGATATTGAATTTAATGTTGAAACATGGCAGCCTTTTTATTGACGGAGAAATAATAATTCCGTGCAAGAGACAGAATTTTGTAGGTGTACGTGAAATGTCTTTTACTGCTTTTTACACAAGTGTTCCATGTTACATGAGTCAGTAAAAAGTTTGCTAACGTATGTGAGAGTATTGCTTTATGTTTAAATAGTCCTACAAAAGGTCTCGTGCACTGCTTCAGCCAAATTTTGCTCAACCACTCGGCAATAAGTTCCTCAGCATTTAGCAAAGTGTCGTCCTGAATCAGAATTTTCAGATGTTTTTTCTAAAATCTGTTACATGGATTTGCAAGTGCTTGAAAATGTGTATAACTTTTTTTTTTTGAAGATTGGTGCCTGGAAAGTTTCAAAAAGACATCACTCTGTGGTCTGACTGAAGACTTCTGTAGGGAAATCAAGACACGGGTGTACTATAAATAGCAGTAGAGACAGGAGGAATATTGGTGAATTTTAATCAATGTATACAGGACAGTGTCCTCTATCTTGCATGATTTTACTGTCATGGATTTTGGCAATCCCAGTACTTTTAGACCGACTACTATTGTTTAAGGTTAAATTGTTAAAGGTGGGAAAAATAAAGTCAAATTAATTTATTGGGATCTCATGGAATACGTACGTGTTCATGTGCACCTGTTACTCAAAACGAGATTTTTTTTTCAAATCCTTTTCCATCTTACTTAACTACCATTGCCTTTTTGACTTTCAGAGTAGGTCATAGAATTTTTACACTCCGTGTTTATCTTTACTTGTGAGCAAACTACATAATTTCGGAGTGTTTGGGCCACACGTTTTGCATACCAGCAAAATTCCATCTGTCTTTTGCATCACTTCTGTACAGAGAAAACAATTCAGAGTGTCTTGAATGAATTGCCCGTATTGCCGCATGCGTTGCATTATTGCATATCTGTACACAAGTTATCGCAGAAAATGTTGAACATGTAATGCAGATTTCTGTTCAAATCTTGTTACTGCTTGTAAAATTTAAAAACAAAAGCTTACACAAAAGGTAGCAGTGGATTCATTCCATTCAATTTAAGTTTATAAATCTGTGAAAACAAAGCAGATCACGCTCTGTCTTTCCACAGCTTGGTTTGGTGGACTACTGTGTTTAATAGCCCTAACAGTCTCAAATCCTCCAATTTCAATATGATTTTACATCCACCCTAGGGGGTTAGCGTTAATGCTGTTAATGTTTTCTAAACCAAGTTAAGGGTGGTGTTACGTCATGCTGGTCTGACTTAAAGTCAGCATTCATGTTGTTATGTGTAGGTGTGGCTTTGTGAAAGCCGAGCCCATCTGAGTCCAGCGTTTGGTGTCTATGGGTCAGGCTATTGCTCTAAGTGCACGGCAGTGGATAGCCACAGCCAGACTATAGATAACTGTTGCCGTTCGGGGCATAGCCCTATTGTTATGTTGATTGTTTATGCCATGTGTAATTCTGGTTTCATACACTTGATGTACCAGGTACATGTAAATGATAAACCCTTCAGATCCTGTGTTTGGTACATGTAAGTCCAGGTATATGTATGTAGATTTGCACAGTTCACTGTAAGATCTGGAGTGAAACATGCAGAGCTCATGTATAGTTACTGGGTCTGAAAGGTTTAACCCAAACCTTCCCCAATCGCACAGAATTGAACAGTAGTAAAGTGTTTAATTCTGTGGGGATAGGTCTGGTNGTGTGAATGGGGAAGGTTAGGGCCAGCAACCCTTGTTGGGGGGGTTAGGATTAAATAATGAATGGCTACAAATTACTGTGGACCCATTTACAAGTATATATAGATACAAGTATGCATTCTTAGTACTTACATGCAGATTTGCCGTCCACATGTCAGTGCAGTGCATTGTATGTAAGATCTAGAGTGAAACGTGCAAAGTTCATGTATAGTTTATGGGTCTGAAAGGTTAACTCATTGAACAATTATGAAACTGTTTACATGCATATCCCCCTGTACATGTACATTTGAAACGATACTTTGCACAAGCCCTTTGACAGAGCAGTCAGCTGGCAAGCAGACAATACAGTTGACCTAGCAGTAAAGAACACTTTTATAACAAGTACTGCTGGAAAAAGCACAACGTGAAGTCCCAAAATTCTCGAGGTTTTCTTTTCTTTGACTCTTTTTTATAACATGGTTCTGGTTGTTAGCAAAATAATTTAACAGGTCCTAGCAACCTGTGCTAAGTTCAGTCAGTGACTGTAGTTTTCAGTCATTGGTCGATTTTCCCCGGTAACTTGTGCCTAAAATACATCCCATGTATCAGACAAAATTGACAAGTAAATCAAACTTGGCCCTTGTTGTGTTGTTTGAAGTGTTGCAAGGAGAATTGGCTGTACATAGATGTGACTGGGCTGGACACAAAGTGAGTTGCCACGATTTTGACACCAGAATGACTATGTGCCCCCAATGGATCCAGCAGATGTAC